ATGGATGGAGGACCACAGTTTAGCTTGTTAGTTTGCTGGGCTAGCGCCGAGCTAATACAAATAATAGTGTCGGCGCTAACGCAAACTTATAGGCTAAGCTGAGGTTCTTCTTCCATGAAGCAGCTCTGTTGTCCTCCATGTATATTTTCAGTGGTAGACTGAATCGCCTCTGCCTTCTCCTCTCTGTCAACGCTCTCTGGTTTCATTTAAAAGAGTCGATTGTCAGATATTGTCCAAGATTAACCTTCAGGGTGGATATATCTCGCTCACACAGAGGACCTATCTATGTCATCATTTACCCAGTATGCTTTGCGTGCAAATAAAATGGCTCCGTCCGTGTTAAAATACATTTTTTAAAATTTACGAAACTAAACAGCCTACAGTATTTTTACACTTTATTTTACAGTTAAAATAAATGTTTATCAAATAAATTCTAATGTTACAACTAATCAGGGATCCCTTTAAACTGGATTAGAAACAGGTAAAGCATTACCCTTGGCCTTGAAAAAAGTCAGACCAGCTGGACACGAGGTGGAACCAGCATTAACCGTCTGCCACTGCTGTGAAGCGGTGCTCTGATCCTTTTGGTTGAAACAACCCTTGAAATCTTTACCACTTTTAACACCMTTAGAACACCTTGATGTGTTTCAGCCAGGCCGACTGAGAATTGTCAGCTGTGCGCAGAAAAATAAATTATTTACAACCCCTTCCTTTTGACTTCAAAGAGCTGACAACATGCTCAACCCCAGATTTCAGTAAGGGGGTTGGAGGAGGAGCTGCTCGTCACTAAGCAACCTCAATGTCACCTGTCCTGACATGCCAGAATCAGCTCTGGAGGCTCCAGAAAACAAAGGAGCAGCCACATTTAAAAGCCTCCTCTGCAGGATTCATTAGGAAAACCAAAATATCACAAAGATACGACTGAGCTCTGCAGCTTCAAGAAAGAAAAATCCTCAGTGAGAGAAAGTTCTGTGATATTTTAGGTTTTTTTTTTTTTTTTTTAAGAAACAGGGATCTTTGGGGAGGTAAGAACACTGTGAAATGAGACGTGTCAAGAACACAAGGTGACCGCTCAGCTAGAAAATCAGGAAGTTTGGCTTGAGCAACATGTCCACTCTATGAAGCCGGTGCTGAGCGAGTTGCTGTTTGTTTAATCCCCTGCCAACACAAACACTCACAAGGTTAATGCAAAGCATGCAAAAGAAAAAGAAAAAGGAAAAAAAAAAACCTGCTGGTTAAAGTCAGCAAGCTCAAACACGAGTCTTCTTCACAGAGCTGTCACGTAAAGAAATGTTCCCTTTGATGACAATAAACCCCTACACTTCTCATCTAAAACTCAACTTTTCCTCTCATCTTTATTCAAAGGCAAATATGTTTTCATCCATGTCTGGGTGTGTTTGTCCATCTGTATCATTAGCAAAATATCTTGTGAATGAGTGGAAAGACTTGAATTAAATAATTACTGAATCAATCTACAACTGATCAACGTTAATATTAAATCCTACTCAAGATGCTAAAGCTAAACAACCTTAGCGAACAGAAAGTGACTATCAAATGACTACTGAGCTCAAATTTAGTATATACTGTATGTATGTATCTATATAAAATTATGGATCATAAACTGGTGTAAATCTACAACTGACTATATTACAATATAGATTACAATATGGCCACTAAACCCAACTTAAAAAAGCTTTTAATCCAGTTGGCTAAAATTTTGTGTGGTGGTAGCTGTGAGTCATTTTCAACACATACCCTGAAATAAATTTAGCTCTGATATAAAAGCGGTGAACAATATTCCACAAAAAAAAAGCTATGCCTTTAATTAACTTGTTTTGTGAATTTCCCACACTGCTGTTATGAAATAAAACCCATGAGTGTAGCAATACTGTTGTCGAATTTCAAAACCCTTTTAGGTCATCCGAATGCGTCGTTCATTTACACCATCAACACTCTGACCAACATCCACCAACGCGCTGCAGGACAAAGCTGAAGGATCACAATGAGCAGACACGGGGTTGTGAATCTTTTCTCTTGTCTCCTGACTCTACACAGATATGGAGGTGTCCCTGTTAGCCTGTTTGATCAGGTTGTGCATGGGCTCTCTGTAAGTGTTGAATGTGTACATCTAAAGGTCTGGCCATGCGTGACAATAGCAAATGACAACCTATCCGTCATTGGAGCCAGGGGCTGGAGATTAACACAAGCTCAGGCTTGGCACCAGCTGGACCAGAGCCTGGAAAGAGAAAACTAGACAGCACTCAATACGGACCTGTAGTAAACGTTCAATTCTTAGGCATGAGAGAGAGAGAGAGAGATGTAAGGCAAATTGCATTTAAGATGCCTCGCATGGTGTTCACTGAAGGGTTTTCAATGGAATCTTGTATGTTTTGTGGGAAAACCCCAGAGAGAAAAAAAAAATCCCCAAGAAGTAGAGCTGCAGAAAATCCCTCCAGCTAACATCTAATAGTAAATTCAAGAGATCCTTACATTGACACTCAAGATGACTTCTTTTGTTTTGTTCTTTTGCCCAACTATCAAAATGTGGCTTTTGGTTTTCTGACTTATTTAAAGAAAACATCCAGCTGCCACAGRAAGACACGCGTTGTTGTCTCGAGCAGTTTCTGTGGGTGGGCTGAAAAACGAGAGAGCGAGGAAAAAAAAAAACAGAAGTACCGGTAACTGTAAACGTCCCACCCTGCTTAGCCTGCGTCTAGACTGGCTTCGGTAAGGTGAGCGGCAGTCATAACAAGGGACTGGGAAAGCAAACACGATTGTTTGCTATAGTCAACCAGCCGTCTATAGAGTTACAATCAAAGCAACACTAYAGTTAATTTAACTGTGGCAAAACAAGGAGCTCACAGAGCAGCGTACAATTATGAGATATATGAGGAGACAGAGCGTTAGCTGCGTGCCAGCATGCCCCATGTGCCACACACCACACCACCTCACCAGATTGGCGCTGGGCTAAAGGACTCACAACCGTCACTTAGCACCGTGCCAAGGCTGCTGGCCTACTTATGAGCCGCTCTCTTGTCAGCGCAAAGCTCAGGAAACAAGCGTACCCTCGAGCACATCATCGCTTTTCGAAACAAAACCCTGCTTTTTAGTCCAAATACTTTTCGATTCGTCTCATCAGCGACGCCACGTTTCAAACTGAGCCCACCGGCCGCTGCCACAAGCCGACTTAAAAACTGAGCAATCAGCTAGAACTATTTTTACCACGCCGCTCTCRTTTCCCCCCCTTGTTACTCATGATGCTGCTAAAGATGCCTCTGTTGACAATGTGGAAAGCTAACTGTGTTGATGGCATTCCCAACATGACCTCAATCAAGCGTTTTCACAACCCGGAGTCACAAAACAATTCAACAGCTCTGCCACCACAGAGAAATCTCTTCACCCTCGTCATTATGAATGCAAATATATTTAAAAAAACTGTTTTTTCTCCCCCCCACTCAACCGGCAACGACGCAGACTAGCGAGGGTCTGTTTTGAAATAGACAATCATTTGTTGAGTCACTGCTAAAGTCAACAGTTTCTTTGACTATCCTCTGTGCGAAGCTTTATTTGTACTAGGATTTTGAAATCTAAAGCGAGTTAAACCCCAGCAAGACAAGCGTTTCTTTTCTCCTCCAAGAGCAGAGCTTTTTTTCACTAGGGACATTTTGTTAATTAAATCTTGCTTTTTGCACGCTTCAACAGAGATGTTTTCCCTCCTTTTTTTTAAGACACGCGGTGACATTTGAGCAGTTATTACTTGTGTCAATTTAGACATTACGCAACATTCCAGCTCAAGTGTTTAATGGCAAATAACACAGCTCTCTAGTTGCCAAACAGCAGGAAATCCCAAACATCACAATTTGTTCTTTTCTTTTTTGCCGTCAAGTATTTAACAACAATGGCAAACAGAGCAAATCTAAAAAGGCACATTGTTTTGAAATATTATAGCCATTTTAAATATTCCCATTCCAGACTCGAAAGAAAACTGAGGTTTCCCCTTCAACCACAGGTTAACCTAAACTGTTAACTTGCTATTCACTGCCTCAGGGAAGAGCTAAGCAATGAATGGAAAATCAGGCCACACTTCTATCCAGGCCATTTTTATTGATCCTCAAAACCCCTTTCACAAAGAAAAAACCCCCATCTCAACCACAAAAAAAAAAAGGGAACAATATAAACAACCAATAAATAAAAAAAAAGGTCTGCGTGATTAAGGCAGTTCTACATCTCCAATAGAACACAACAGTGTGGACATGTTGGAGGTTATACAGCTTCAAACAGTACAAGCAGTATTTTTTTTTTCTGGAGAACATCACACCTAAAAAAAAAAAGAAAAAAAAAAGGCAGCACTTTACCAAAAGTGAACCGTTAGGTTTTTTTTTTTTTTTTTTTTGTAAGTGTGGATGACACTCTCATTCTAGCAACACAACATTGTACTTTTGTGATTCCAGAGATAAAGCAACTGTTCCTATAGTTGACATTGTCTTCTCAGTTAAATTTATTACAAAGCCAAACAGAATAGGTAAAAAAAAAATAATAAGAATAAAAAACATATACGAGCAGAGAACTTCAATTTTATACTCCTTCCCAACCCTGCTCGCAAAGAAAGATCATAAAAACCACTTGGATCCCAAAAACAGAGAAGGTGGCTCATCTGTATATCAGTTTTCTCAGATAGGAATAAATAAATACACCTTTTTTTTTTTTACTGGTAAACTGTCATAGAGTCCAGACTTAGAGGCTACATAGTGTCATAGAAGTGTTCAGAGTGGCTTTTTTTCTTTTTTTTTTTAGGAATTTAAGCATTTCTTTATACATTCATGTCCAGAAAATACTAGATGAGAAAGTATGCTTTAAATCCAACCAGCTTCCAGTCACTAACAAACTTGTGAGACTTCAGCACTGTGTTTGCTGTGGATATCCAGAGTACTTTCTGTGCACCCTGCACCGCGACTTTAGATCAGCTGCGTAGGTCCGTGCTCGAAAAATAAAAACCCAAGCAGAGACGGCCTCTCTTCGCCCATCCTGGACACTTCTCACTTGTTATTCTCCTTTTTTTGTTGTTGTTGCCAGTTATGAAGTAAGATCCTTTCAGCAGCTAACAGTGCTGGGCTGCTGTTTGCTAACAAAGTCCGAGATGAAGTCAAACTCATTCTGGCCCAGGAAAAGTTCGGGTAGCTCCTGAACCCGGTCCAAGCCCAGCTCCATGACTAGCGACGTCAGGACGTCCTCGTCGATCATATCTGCGTCCATGCCGTTCAGGGCCAGCGCGGGCCCGGCCATGTGCTGCATGCTAGCCAGCTGAGCCGGGTTCATGCGGTACTGAGCCGCGGGCCCCATGTGGTTCCCGCCCATGGGGCCCAGCGGGTGTCCGTGGTACTGCGTGTTGAGTTTCTGCAGCTGCATGCTGGCCATGAGCTGCTGAGACGTTAGCCCTCCGTTCATGAACTGCTGCTGCTGCGGGTGCGGTGCCTGCTGCTGGTGCTGCTGCTGCTGCTGCGGGTGCATGTGATGCTGCTGCTGCTGCTGCGGGTGGTGCTGCTGCTGAGCCTGCCCGCTATACATCATGTTTCCAGAGGTCATCTGGTGGTGGGCCATCTGAGCCCCGCTGAGCTGTCCGTTCATGGGCCCGCCCACCATGCCTTGCCTCTGCCTCATGGCCGTCTCCATGCTGGCCTGGGCGCCTCCGTAGTGCATCATCTGGCCGTTGGGAAGCGCACGCATGCCCTGCTGGTTGGCGTGCTGCTGGTGACCCGCCTGAAGGCCGCCGTTCATGCCCATCCTGTAACCATGGAGGCTGGCGCCTGCTGAGCTGTGATTCATGGGCATCATCAGATGATCTGCCATGCCTCCTGCGTTTGGACACAAAGTAGAAAAAGTAAGAAGCAGGCAAGCGTTTTTAATTCGACTACATGCTTAACTTTTCCTTTGCACCTGAATCCCACTGGTGCAGCTAAACAACAACAACGCTCTCGTGATATTTAAATGACTTTCGCTCAATAAAAATCCTCACTTGGTCAACAGACTTTTTGTAAACAGACACTCTGTATGCATCAAAAGGGGGGAAAAAGAGGAAGCAAGTTTCCTTTAAATGTGACAATGCTGCCTCAGGTTAAACAACTGCTTACAAAACATCCAACCTTAATGATCATTTAGCCTGATGGGAAACACTAAAAACCTGACTGGTCCTCCGAAGATCCCTCTGTCTTTGTGCAAGAACGCCCAGGTTAAAATTACAGGTTAACATCCACTGTTTCAGCTCAGTTCATGCACAATAAGACACTGTGGGTGGGTGGGGGTTAAATCTATGAATCGGTCTTTAAATCCCCTTGATGTTGCACAGCAGCTGAGGTGGAAAGATATGTTACAATTTTTTTTATCCCCCACGCACGTAAGGTTGCAACAAAGAACACTGACATCATGCAACATCTCCCCAACAGCTGAATCACCACATTACTAACAAGACGTGCGTTTAAACAAGCCTGCGACGCCTCGTTCAAATCCGCCTTCTCGTGCGACGCGGACGTTCAAAAACGCGGTGAGGTGAAGCCTTTTGTTATTTTAGATTTTAGATACCATTCTGTTTCTTTTAGCTCTAAAACCTTTCAGCTTTATCACCAGTTGCAGCAGTCATTCAGCACTCACAATGTGTTTTCTTCCTTAATTTTATTTTCCTTTTCCGTGTTTTGCAAGTCACTGCAAGACAGCTGTAGTTCGGCCAAACATATTTCAGCATTACTTCAGTATGTGACTGGTCAGTTTGAGAACATTTCAGGGTGTTTAATATACGTACCTATAGGCTGTTTCTCTGTCTTTGGTAGCATGTGTTCGCTGCTGTCACCACCAGATTAGCGAGACGGCTTAAAGCCCTGCTCACAAAGACACAGTGTACGGAACATAAACTGTGCTAATACTGTTGCCTTCTATTTTATCCCTATGAATCTCGCTCCCCTGGGCCGGCCCACACCATTTACCAGCTGGCGTTAAACAGGTCAAACACAATTGTGCAAAAGTGCAGGAGATGAGCGCTGCAATTTAAACTTCCCTACTACCTTCTGATAAAACTTTGCAATAAAAAGGCACACAATGTGAGGCTTGAATTTATTAAACCATTGCTGTGACGGAGGTGCTGCAGTTATTACAGCTTAATGTACAATGCCCTGTGAGACCGAACCGTTCGCACTCAACTAATATATAACATTTTTACACCAAAAGAGCAGCGTTATTGGAAATGTTTTAGTTTTATAATGTATAATTTTGTTGAAGACTGTGGTTGAGATTTAATCCTTTTATTACTTTTTCAGAAAGTTTGTTGCGCAGTGCTAGAAATTGTTAATTAACATAATTTCTGTAACCGTATTCTGCTCAGTTAAAGATKATTCTCCTTGTGTTTTGTAATATGGTTTTTATGGTCTGGATGTTTGTAATTTAAGTGAAAACTGAGCCATTGGTAGCCATTTTGGTCAAACCTTGATAATGATACTATTATACTGAGATATCACAAACTCAAAGTTTGTGTTTTTAAAGGGATCCATGTTGTAACATTAGACTTTATTTGATAAACGTATATTTCAACTGTAAAATAAAGACTGTTAAAATACTGAAGTCTGTTTAGCTTTTATATTTTTTTAACTAAATTTTTAAAAATGTATAACATGGACGGGGCCATTTTATTTACATGCAAAGCATTCTGGGTAAATGATGATGTCAACTAGGTCATCGGTGCGAGGCTGCTAGTGAGCTATATCCACCCTGAAGGTTAATCTTGGACAATATCTGATGATCGNTAGATAGATAGATAGATAGACTGTCTTGGACCATATCAATACTATAGTTACTGAATCGATATGTTGCTAGTTGTACTTACAGCATATTGCTCCTTTTCCAAAAAAGACCTAATGCACTGGAGCAGCCGACAAAAGTCAGGTTCAAATGTAAACAGTGAGCTAAACAAGCATGTCACATAATTATTTCAGTTCTGATGTAAGTTGCATTTAAAACATAATGCGAACATCCACGCAAAAACATGAAATTTTTGCAAAAAAAAAAAAAACTGAATTGAGCATTAAGATCTGCAGTGTGAATGCCATCCTGTAACTTCTGAGTGAAAGGAAAAGACAAGCTGGCGCCGCGGCTCAATAATGTGATAAAGTGATGACATATGGTCTGTGCAACCAGCCGTCTGCGGGATTAAACAACATCAAAGATTTATTACCAAAGGAAAATTAATAATGGTGCACAAAACTTTAGATTTAGGGTGAATTAGACTTGTTTAACCACAAAGAGGGTAGCTAAACAGAGTTAAATCGTTATGTTTTGTAAACAACACGAGGGAGATATCCGTCACACACATTTAATGCGTTACACCTCACCTTAGCTCAGCTGAGTTTGGCTCCATACCTCTTTTGGGTAAACAAAGCCCACTTCATTTCTGAAAACTCACATCTGTGTGGGAAGTGGACATTTGTGATTTATGTACGGCCAGAGGCAACACGAAGTCGGACTGTGTGCCCATTTTGTGGAACTGTTTTATGAACAAGCCTATAGATAAATATGTGTTATTCTATGTACTTCAGGCATTGAAATTCAGATATAGCATTGCAGCAGTGCTGGACTTTTCAAGCAAAAACACTCAAATATGTTGGCAATATTAGTTGCTTTTCTAATTTACTCCCCATGTCCTGTTCGGTTCCTTGAGTCCCATCGAACGCCCCTCACCACCAGCCACCGCACCAAACGTAACAGCTATTTATGCTTCCTCCACGTGCTCGTTTAAGATGTGCTTTTTTTGTTTGTTTGTTTGTTGTTTGTCATTTTCTTCAGCCCAGTGTGGAGGGGGAATGTGCATTCTGGCAGAAAAGCTGAGCTCACCCATAATCAAAGTTTCAACTTTTCAATCCTTTCAAAATAAACCGCAAAAGCAGATGCTCAAAGTTTTTTCTTTTGAAGTATTAATTCACACAAAGCATATGGACAGTGCATGTGACAATGCAGCTTTTTTATTTTATAAATCTAAAACTACATTATTATTCTTTGTATTTAAATTAATTGTGAAGTACTGGTTTGACTTTGTTATGTTTACTTCCTGACAACGTGACCGTGCAGTGAGCCTATGGTTGTTGCCCCAGTTTGTGTATTTGCACTTCATCTCTAAGATCACTGTTGGTACATGTGACCTACCAGTCTGCTGTGTGTTCTCAGAGAGAGGCAGAGGAGGGAGGGCAGAGGAATGTAGTCTCAGTCGGAGCCAACCAGCTACTGAGCAGCACTTTTAAATATAGCTGCGCATGCATGTTTGTTTGGCTCATTTATGTGTTTTACGTGACTGTGGACACACACAGATGTTTCTGCGTATCCGAGCACGTGCGTGTGTGTGTTTGCACAGCCACTCCTTTATATGCACTGGTGTTTTGATTATTTACTTCAGGAAGACAACCTCTTGCCTGCAGTTGAAAAAAAGAATGGAGCCACTTTGGGGAAGTGAGCCGTTCTGTTGTCAAGGGAATTTGTCTGTAAATGGGCATCCAGCGGCAGGGGTTTGTCATTGTGTGGCATTGTCCTGCAACTTATGTTAAATAGGCCACTCCCAGGTGGGGAGACTCTCAGGGAGGCAAAAAAAAAGGGAAAAAAAAGTCACCCATCCAGTCAGCGCAAACAAAACACAGAATCAACACAAGTTTCTGCTGTGTTTTGTGAATTTCTTTTAGAAAAGCACATGTGCATGACTGCAGAGGCTTGTAATAAAGCTTTTCAAAATTATTTAAAACAGTCTTTATTTTCATACAAGAGCCATTTCTTTTTGCAATAAATATACCGGGTAGTCAAAATGTGCAGTTGCATTTTATGGATGATTCACTTCAGTTCTATCCTACAGTGTTTTATGCTTTTGTGGATTTATTCACATTTGTCTGTAATCATCAGTTAGACGGGAGAGATTCCACACACCCTTCCTTCTGTCGTTTATTGACCTCTGTCCTCGTGTTAGTGTGTGCGTGTGTGGCTGCCTGTCAGCAAGAAAGAGCACAAGAGAGGGTTCACGTGACCGTCTTTCTAATAGGCTAAAAGTGCGTATAGACACAATAAAGACACACCCTTGTGCCACATTGCAAAACACACTACAAATAAAGTCTTTGCAGGATGATTTTCCTCACCTCAAGCAGGAAATGTGTTTCACTTTGTATCACTTATTTGTGTTCACATATTTTAATAAATTCTTTTTCTAAATTGTTTTAGAATTTTAAAAAAGCTGTGTTTTACTGTAGTCTTTTTTTTACTTTTGTTTTTAAAGGGTTAAAAAATCCTCTTTTTGCAAAATGATTTTTATTTTACTGTGTCTTGTTGCCATTTGCTAAAACAGTCAAAGGTTCCTAATGGACTTTGCAGTTTGTTCTGATACAGAGAGGTAGCAAACTTTCACTTTACTAAAACTAATTATTTCTGTCTGAAATAAGAAAACGTTTGTATTATGCTCACTCAAACTTGTGTTTTCTTTCCAAATCTGATCCAGGTATTTGGTTTTAGGCCTCCTTTAATGTTTATTTTTCCGGCAACCACCCGACTTGCTACTGTTCACTACGCTGACATGTAACACGACTCAAACCGCAGCTCTTTCTGCAGTTTGTCTTAATTACCTCCAAACCAGTTTCTGGAGATATTTCAAAAGCACATCAAAAATAGAAAGATTTGTCTCATTTGCTCTTTTGTCCGCTTCACGGAAACATGACTGTTAACTTCTCTTCTGATGAGTGGCTCAAAATGACTGCATTCTTCACATTCCCAGAGACGTTTTGTGACATTCTTTGGAAATGATACTTTTCTTACCTACCCGTTTCTTGACCTTTTTCTTCTAAATGCTACTTGCGTTGCTTGTTGCATAAAAAAAACGACA